TTACAAACCCCAGAGGGGGACAGGAGAAAGCTTTTCTACTCTAACCTCTGGATTGCCTTCACACAAAACATCAGTCTTGTGCCTAATGGCTACACTGCCTAAAACTCTTTAAAAAGTTTGGGTTTATTTTGCATATGTAAATATACAACACTTTTCTTTTAAAAAATTGCAAATATGTGTAACTTCTTCACTCCTCCTTGAAGTCCACTGCCAAATGTTTCCAAATTAATATCTTTTTCAAGCTTACTTTCTTACAGTGACACTACTCCTTAGGTCCCTATTAAAGGTGTAATTAAACTGTCTTTTGGAATCTTTGTCTGGTGCCTTTGAGTTCCCTATTTGTATGCGGTACAGTGCTCTCACTGCTAAAAAAAATCTATCAGAAATATGTGATAAAAATACTTTTAGCTATGAAAATATATTTTACATTTTCTATAAAAATATATTGAAACCATTTAAGTGTCTATTTAGTGTCACTATCAGAAAAGGCCAAAATTTGCAGATGTTTACAAGGCTCTTCCAGAAAGGATTATTTTGGAGATGGAAATAAAAACATGTCATTTTTTAAAGTCAAAATCGCATCCCTATCCCCACCCAAATATCATCTGTGTTCTCTACTCTCAACAAGGGTAATGGGTGCCAAAAGCAGATTTACAAAGCGTGTGGCTGCCTTCAGAAGCGGGCAGAAGGTTTGATCTGGGCCCTGTGACTGAGCGGATGATGCAAACGCCTTTAAGCATAGGATCAAAGGGAGATCCCCTCCGTTTGTTGTCTTCTGTAGTGAAGTGAGATAAGGATGCAGAGCCCAGTAGTCTCTCAGTGTTTACAGTTTTCTCACAGTGACGACCTCTATCAGCTCTGTGGAGACATGCTTGCAAACAATGGAGCCGTTTCCTTTTGTATAAGCACTGTATGTGTACTGTATAGGAGCACACAAAGGATTTGAGGGTAATGTTTTGCTTCCTGGAGGACTTGGAGATTTATAAACACAGTAAGTGTACATCCACAGAGAAAGTGTTGCTGATAATAAAAGCATAGCAATAATTAATAACATTCAATATTAATTAATAAGTGTGATAATAATTCGACATCTTAATGAAGACATGATGCACTGCAACTCTTTACTAGTGGCAACAGCACCTTCTTCACCTTGTGCAGACTTTGCATTTTTCTAGACATGCACAGCCACGGGAGAGGACAATTTTGTACAGGAACAGTGTCACACTAAGCATGACTAATTTTCTATTATGCTACTTTACAAAAATGTGCAATTTATAATCCCAGGTGTCCTTCTGACCTCCTTGCAAGCAGAGATAAGTGTTAGCATTCTAGCTGCTTGGATATTGTAATCCCTATGTGAGTCTGGTTCTTCCTTCACTAATGATCCCTTTTTGCTATAGGTGAATTGAATGGCCTTCTCAGTCCAGTCTTGATTATAGAGTGGCCTAAATGTTTTACTGATTGAAATACTGCCAAACGGCAGAAAACAGACTTAGTGAGAGGGCACAGAATTCAACTGCAATGAAGAAAAGACTGCTACTGAAGTGCTCCATAACCTTAAAACCATTTATGGTTCTGCAAAGGCCAGTACATCTTGGAGTGGCATCCCAGCAGATGCACATCAGTTCAGGCAGGGTCATTTATATTCTGTAAACTTAAGTTGAAAAAAGAATATGCATTTCTGTTTGTTCAACCTAAGTCACCTCTGATAAGAATTGTATTGTAGAATTTAATTCATTAATTCAATGTTAGTATTTAATGGAAATCAGAATTTTTTCATGCCCTTGGGTATGAGCACCACCACAACACAGCCCACATTCTGACTTACTGTAGCTATTTTTTTATTTTCCCCAGAAGACATTGGATAATTTCTTCTCATGTGCAACTAAATGTCAATCAGTTAATAAGACTGGAATTGAGCCTAATTAAGCTGTGAAGTCCCTGTTGTCAGGCGTGTGCATGCCCAGCCTGTAGGTAAAGCCCTAAAAGAAGACATTTTGCAGACCAACAACGTCTGCTTCTAAGAACCATGTGCTTCTCAGACCAAAGTACTTTCATTTCAGTCTGTTTGTAAGCATTCCAGTATAAAACAGAAAACACCTCTGACATTCTTCATCAGAAGATGCTAAGAGCTTTAATATCTTGAGAAACTTACTTCATAAGAGCTATACTGATTCTGCTTTCATCTATTTCATAAAAGCATATTCTGATGCAATGGCTCGTAATCAGTATTAAGACTTCAAGTTGGTTAATTCACTGTGATTTGATTAATATATTTGAGAGGCCGAGTGACATGACAGAGTGATTAGACCAACCCAGCCATCCAGCAATCTTTGAAAGCCAAGCTTACTCATCTGTATTTTTATCTCATTAGGATAGTTTTTATAAATTAGTGGGTTTAAAATAAAGTTGTTACTTGAGATGATGAAAATTTCTTTATTTGCCAAATGAGTATATTTTATAATTGTATTTTCATGGCTTCACTGCAATCACATTACATTCCATTGCCACTGTGGAATGCATGGAGAGGAAAAATTGGCTTCCTAAGTTAAGAAGGTGAAGAAGATGTCTGAAATGTCAGCATAACAAATTACCCTTCACAATTATTTATTTCATTATTTTGCTGCCTGTGAAATGGCCAAGCATGAAATACAACCTGCTGCTGAGTGACTGGGATCTACTGCAGAGTTCTTAAATAATATTTTTGCTTCATTGTAGAATATTTGTTTGTACACTGGGACCAAATACAGATACTTAAAGGTCTTTGATGGTATCTACATATGTCTGTGTACCTAAGCTGTATTGACCTAAGCATCTGACCAACTTGGGTGCCTTTTGAAATCTCAGGAGGCACCAAGCTGAGACTTCAAATGCCTAAATTCACTTTAAAATAAAACTTGAAGTGTTTATGTGGTGCAATTTAAGGAAAAGCATGCAAGTGATGGTTTGAGCACTTTATCAAGCTGCCTACACTTGCAGTGTCTTATGTTCTAGAAAAAATAAAGTGTTTTTTTCTAGAACAAAAAAAAAATAAGTACTTTGTCTAATGTGGACATCTGCAGTTGGACTTATGTGTTTGTCTCGGAATAACTGGAGCCCAGTTGCTGGAGTCTTGGATTATGGTATGTACGTAATCTTGTGTTTCAAGAAAGCACTTTCCTTGGAAAATGTAACTGCCCTATTAGTCAGTCAACAGAATAATCAAGGTACACATTATCATGTTGTTTGTGTATATGATGCCCCAAAATGTTTGGGTTTGCTATATTAAAGTGCTCTTGCTTCGGTTAAATACGAGGATTGCTCTCTCATTTAATAGCACTTGGGGTATCCTCAGTGATGTATTTTAGGGTTGCAAAGCAGAAACACTCTGTAGCAGTTCTCTGCAAAGCACCAAGCACTGACGCCTGCAGTTTTTGCCATGGCAGGCATTCCCAGCTCAGGCACCTCGCTGATACTGGTTTATATAAAATGGCTGACGCAGGCGGCTGCCATGCATCACAGTCTAATGATCAGGTCAGGAAACTTGGCAAGCTGCTTTTCCTTGAAAGGCAGGACTGCATAATACTATTCATGATTGCTGTTTGTTCAATAAAGTTTTCAGTCTTCCAATTTATTTACTTTCAATTTTGGTTTCAGTTCATTTAACCTTCAGACAACATTTGTGCTGTGTACTGCTTCCAAAAGGAGGGCTCCAGGAGCCCCTTGCTGCATTTATCTCTTGCTGTGGAGCTATGATGTCTGCAGTAATAAATGTATCTGGTTGAAATAGAAGTGATTAAGTTCTTGTGGAAATGTCTTCTGGAACAAAACATTAGCTTTTGCTTTCAAAGGGCAGATATTGCAGCAGATAGCACTTAACCTGGCCAAGGACAAAGCGTTATGTTTACACATCACTTTCCTGCCTGCCTCTGTGCAACAGCAGGGATATCTGCATTCACACGCTTCCACTTCTTCATACATCAAACCAAGTATCTCTACAGCACTGAAAGTGGCATGATTGTAACTATTGCTTTATTTTTAAACCCAGCCCACCCATCCTACCTATTTTTTTGTGATTTATTCCTTTGAGCTTTCAAATCTGAAAGATACAACAGAGGAAAGAAGAATTGGGTGGGCATTGTAATTTACACACTAGGGTTCTGTTTTCAGAGGCACCGGGTTACCTAGATGCACATTTCTGAACAAAATCCAAATTTGACCACCTTGCAATAATCCCTGGTTGTCCAGCTCAGAAATTCATATGAGATTTGACACCAATATTGTCATCTTTAAGTACGTTGTAACTGTGGCTGTTGCTTTTCACCTATCAGCAAGACCATACAGATCCTCATTTTACTGACTGCCTGGGAAAAAGCTCAAAGCCAAAAGATGAAACATGGAGAAGATTTCAGTTTGCTGCCCAAGTCGGGTAGACACACAGACTGCTTGTCCATCTGTGTGTATAGAGATCACAACAGAGGTCCCGCCAGCACTCTGGAAGTCCTGATGCGTTGCACAGGACTAAGTACTAGTGCAATAAGTTAATAATGACAGTTGAATCAAACCTTTGACAATAACTCAAAGATCTAGTGACTAAGTGCTCTGTATTTCTGTAATTTGAAGCTAATAGTAATAATGTCAGTAACTATGCTGATAGATGTCAAGTATGCATCCCTTACATATCATTTTGTATTCTCAAAAGTAGATTAGGCCTTAAGAAACTAATACTACATATTAATAAATGTGAAAATACAGAACAAATACCAAATTGTCAGCTCGCTCTTTTATCTGTTTCTTGGTTTCAAAGAGTCTGTTTGAAGATACCTCTATTTATGAAATATATTCTGCAAGTATACCATAAATATTTATCAACGCAGGTTTAACTTCCATTCATTTTAGTGATGTATAAATTGCAATTTTTTTTTCTATGAGTGGAATTTGGAAACAATACTATTTAAATATAAATATTAGTCACCTGGCAATACGAGCTAATTCCTTTTCCCTTGCATTCTGTCTTTCAGATTTGTGATAAAGAGTGGCATTACTACGTTGTCAACGTGGAGTTTCCCGTGGTGACGTTGTACATGGATGGCACGACGTACGAGCCCTACCTCGTGACCAACGACTGGCCTATCCACCCGTCACACATAGCCATGCAGCTGACAGTTGGGGCTTGTTGGCAAGGTAATGGGCCAGCAGAATTATGGATTCAGACTGAAAAGGACCCTATTTGTCTAGCTGATTGCACAGTAAATAAATTACTAAAAGGTTGATGGTATAAAATTAGAAGTAAATCCAGAGTTAATAATGAATCAAGTTCAAGGATAAAGTGGGTGGGATGGTTAACAGACTTTGCATTTCCATCATCTGTAGAAGTGCTGAATACAGTTTGTGTATTTGTCTTTTGTTTTCACTTCTTTTAATTGTTTCCCTTGTCCTTTAGCTTTAAGCAAACTATTGAAATATTACTCTAAAGAACTCCAGCTATCTCCTTTCAGTCTCTGCCTCAAATTTCTTTTACAACTCCTGGACCAATCTTGTGCTCTTCACATTGAATGTATAGCACCAGTAATTTCACTAATTTAATCACTTCACCCTGTCGCAGACCAGATGTAAAAGTGAGAGTAAAATAAAACTAAGTCATAACCCCAGAGCCATGTCAGCATGGACCTTTGCTTAGCTAGTACTTTTTCCTGTTTTCTATCACCTTGTTTGCCAGTTTGATCTCAGCTCATTTACAATAAGTTATCTGCAAAATTTGTACATCCCATGCATGGCTGAGCTCAGAAGCAGATCCAGCTGTTAATTGTGAGTGCCTTGGGGTAAAGCTCTCATCTTTACTTTGATGAGAAGATGCAGAATAACGCCTTGCTAATCCTCAAGCCAGGATTCGATAAGTTTTGAATATTGATCACTGAGATAGGCATTATGATAGCTTGCTAATCAGCATGACACTAATTCCATATATTTGTAAAAGTATGGACTGATCCTTGTCTAACTGCTATGTGCACATGTAGGCTTCCGTCTCTATAGGATGATCTTTAGGTGTCATGGAATCATGGTTCATTGATGCTAAACAGAATACATTTCATTTTACTCTAAGGTGCTAATACGCTAAGAGAATATTACTCTTTTTTCAGCTAAAAATACATAGTGAAATACTTTTCAAACTTTTCAGAAGCCAGAACTTCTGTTTAGCCAATTTGATTTACATTAATTTTCTTTTTCTGATCTATTTTGTTTTCTTATATAGTTTTGGTGCAGTATTTTTAAAACAAAGTTCCAGAGTTAACAAATGCAGATGAAATTCATCAATGGAGTAGATTCAGTTCTTTCCAGACATGAGCAAATGCAACAGGGACTATGAATAATCATCAAATATCCCATTCTGAAAAATCACCATTTCTCAGTAGCCACACTAAAGAAATTTTAATTTCTTACTTTATGTTCATTTCTATGTTCTGCATAGGTCTACATAAATATTTTTGTGCATTATACAAATAAAATTTCTGTAGCATCTGCATTTGTTAACTCTGGAACTTTGTTTTAAAAATTATATGGAGATTTCTGTGGGTTTCAACTACCTCCAAGGCAGATGAATACAATGAGAATAATCTTGTTTTCTTTACATCTTTTTATCTCAAATTCTTAAGAGAAAGAATTAAGGTAAAACTTGTTATATAGGCTCATGGTAAATTTAGACCACAGGCTATATTTATTATTTAAGCTGTTAAATAGGAAGTAGCAATTATTTTCAGACATTTTTAGCTTTACCTTGAATAATTTGACAGCTTAATGAATTGCTGTTCATTCTTCTTCCTTTTTGGTGAAATATCTGGTTTAAGCTACTGAATTTTTTCCTATTGCTGCTATCAGTACTTACTGTGAGATTGTGTTGTTGATGTTTTAACAGTGTGAGAAATGGAATTTGTCAAAAGTAAAACCAAATATTTCCATCTCATGAAAATGTCAAGATCTGGCCTAGATAGTGTGCTAAAGATTCTGATACACTGCCATGTGTCAGGCAGAAAGGTGAACTTTTAGTGCTTATATGAAGCAATATTTAAAGATATTGCTTTTGGCAAAGCTTATCTTTTGATAAGTTTGTTTTGATCACCTCAAACTATTTTAAATTAATATTATGGAAAATGTTAATAAGCTTCAGCTCTGTTTCACTCTGTTGAATTGCAGTTATTCAACATATAACCTCAATCTATTCCATCCAAAATGTTAATTTTCAAAATCCATATATTTCAAGAAAAAGTGGATCTATCAAGCAATTTGACTTTAAATGGTTTCAGTGAAACTGCCAGCTGGGTCTACCCAAAATAATACATTTTGGACAGTAAGAATAGTCTAAAGCTTTAAATTTTCAAGTCATTAGAAAACTGCCTGACAACCATCTACAATTTCTTTCAGTAAAGATATGCTGTGATTTTGGTGTCATAAGCCATTCAGGGGAGTGCTTGTTAAGAGGATATGAGGAATTTCTAGCTCTATTTCCTTCCTGTTTCATCAAAGCACTGGCAGGATAGGAACACAAGTTCTAACCTCTTCCTTCAGAAAGGACAAGACTTTTTTTTCTTGTCTTTACTAAACCATTTTATAGTTCTGAGTCCCCAGTATCCATTTATCAAAGTCAAATTATTTGAAAAACAATCTCAACTTGGACAACTAAATGAACCAGAAGAAAAAAACACTCCTTTTTCTTACCATGCCAGTTCTGATTTGATCACAGCAAAAAGTAAGTCATCGTGACTTAAGGACTGGTGGGAGCAGGAAGAGTGTATTTAGAGAGCAAAGCAAAAAAGTAAAACCAGAAAGAATTGTAATTTAGTCTGTAAGCACTAATAGGAAAATCTGCTCCTGCTGTGAAGAATTTACCCTTTCATATATGACAATTTTTAGGTCTGGTCTGGAAACTGGGAATTGTTCTGCTGTTTCTCTAGCAATCTGAAAATCCTCCAGGTTATGAGATAGGTGACCCTGTCAGTCCCTGGTCTTTTCATCACCTAATTCACTGGTCCTTATCCTGAGGTTACACAGCAGGTATCATGCTTGCACCTCCTTCTTGTCTTTCTCAGGGTTGTCATGCAGGAGTCTTGGACACAGAAAGAGAATTCTTTTCTTTCAGATTAATATTTCCTCGTATTAATATTTCAATTCCAGAGTAACTCTTTTCTGACTTTTATAGCCTTGTTTATAGCACCCATTATAAAAAGTTAAGTTAGTTTTTATTTCTACCTTCAGCTGTTGAAGTGAAATACAAGAGCGGACAGTGCTCTTTTCCTGACTCTAACATGAAAACAAACCAAATGTGCAACTTCTCAAGCTTTTTCTTTTTTTTTAACATCAGCATTGCAGCTGTAACAGTCTTCTGCTGACCACTTGCCCAATATAAACTGATATTATCATTAACAGGCAGACCAGCAGCCAAACTCCTCCCTCCACTCCTACATCACACATCAGAGACCCAAAGTGCCAGACAACCAGAGGGAGGAACAAGTCAATGCCCTCACCCACCACAGTGGACACAAAGAAGGGAACAAGCCAGGCAAGGAGCCAAGCCATGGGACATGGCAGCAGCCAGGCCATGAGCCCAGTTATATAGCAGGGACTCAGAGACAGCTTCATGTTCTGTCCCTGACATCCTGGGAGCTTCACTTACTGTGAAGAGTCAGGGAGCCCTTCTAACACCCACACAGCACACCCACCAAACTCCCAACTCCACCCCAAGCAGTCAGCTCCTATAGGGGTGGCTTCTTGCCCCACCTCCAAATTAATGTGGAAGGAGGGGGCACCTGGTGGTGATCTCCTCATCAGTTCCCACCCAAGGCTGGCCAGGCCCTGGGTGAAAACAAATCAGGAGGGCCGTTCTTGCCTGGCTGTGGACATCATCCATATGCCCACCCTCATTCAGAGCTGGGGGTTTAAACCCCAGCGCTTCAAATGGGCAAGTCTCTCCTACATCTTTACCCTTGCTTTGGCAGTGTAAAAAGCATGCTCAATTTGTTTGTTCCTGATTTTATACAATATTTATTTAAAAGATGTGAGTTAAGTGGTAGGACTCTCCTAAAAGGAGGAAAAATTACCCTCTTCCTGAAGAGCAGTCTCTTGTCTCTGGGAACAAGCGGGTGTTGGAGGCAGAGGTTAGGTCCCAGTGGGCAGATGGGAGCCTGGGGACATGCAGAGAGTGAAGATACCTGAGAGAGCAGAGTCAGGCTTTAAAGGGAACAGAAAAGAACCTTCCTGGAGTCTGTCAGGCACTGAGTAAAGTTCACTGAAATTCACAAAGTCACTCAGTTACCTAAAACCAAGCCCTGGGGATGGTTTCCAGCTTTAATGACACGTTGGGCATGAGGGGAGTTATATGAAAAGATCTTTTTACATTTTGTTCCTGCATAATCAATACAAATTTTCTATACTTAAAATCAGGTATTCTGGGTGTTACTCTGGTATAATCTTCTGTTCTTAATTTTAAAATCTCGGTTGTCTCTTCAGGGAGCTCATTAAAGGCTAGATTTAGGCAGTGCTACCTCATTGATTTAGGGTCTTATCACAATAGTTAGTTAGAATAGTTAATGGTTTGGGTTTTTATTTTATTTTGTGTAGTTCATGTTTCATACTGCTCTACTTTAGGAGAGACAGTTTGTTTGAGGGTGGGAGTTAAAGCATTAGCTTACTTATTAACTTACTTCTTAGCTGTGAGCTCAGTGATGCTAGGCCTGGAAAAAGGGAGTAGAGACTACAGAGCTAAGCAAGGTGGACTCTTAGTGAGCTAACTGGGGTGGAAATGAGGAGTTGGGAGTGCTAGTACAGCTAACTCACGAAGTTAGGCCTTTATGTACCCTGGTAAGATTTAACAGCTCTCTCTGCAGATACTTAAGGTTTAGGATATAACTTAATTTTACCTTCTTTAAAAGGCCTTTTTTGTTCACATCAGTGATCTCACAGATGATTGCCAGCAGTGTGATTTTGATGTAGATGGGGTCATTTAGGTCCAAAGTGCTGTTCTCTCTCTAATGGTGAAAGAGATTTTATGGCAAAATTACTTCTTCTCAAGGGTATCTAAAGGACAAAATTGACTTGCTTGTAAGTGTGCTTCTCAGAACAAGAGACACCAAAAAGAACATGTGGAAAGTGTGACCCTGGCACTGTCTCTCAACCTCTGCCTCCCTGAAGGG